CTTAAGGCTTGAATCTTTGGAATGCGTAGCAATGCTCCAAGCGCAACAAGATCTGTATAGCACGATTTGAAAGCTGAACAATCGCTGGCTTGGTCGGAGTGAACAGATCGTCAGTTCATTACAGAAAAATGTCTCAAATGAGGCTTCAGGATCATTTATTTGTACTGCTTTGTTATGTTTCACCAGTTTTGATGCTGTTAAGTGATGCGAAATCTGTAAACAAGATAGTAGTATTTATCACAGGCTCGAATTAATGCTAACCCCATGCATTAAGGGCTGCTTCTTGAAACAGATATGGGGTTCTTCAGGCAATTGGAACCGCGTCCTTAAAACACGCAAACGCGTAATAGGAGAACGAGGGAGGCATGGGCTGTCACCCACCGCTTTCCGTCAAGGTTGCAGGCGATTCAAACAGTGATGCTGCCCGAAAAGCTGGCCTACAGATGAAGTTTGTCTCCAATGTCTCCAATGACCCACCTACCTTCCTGGTAGTCAGCACATCATACCCGGTTCCCGTCAGGCGGCTTGGCAGTCAAAGATAGGTCGGCCAGGGAATCCCATGAACAGTATTGAATGCATCCCGAAATAATGCAAACGCAAGTCGCCCATAGAAGCTCCGCCGCTCAGCAAAGTAAGCCCCAAACATTTGTCGGCATATAATTGCTTTGGGTGTGTCTGTCGTTCTGTTTGGCCGTTTGTCGCGCATTGTGTTGCGTCGTACCTGGGCCGCGTGGCTGGCCGCTGGTCGGTAAAATCTGAACACGACACGCGGGCGCATGAGGTGGTTTTCCCACTGGTAGCCCGTGAGCCGCTGCAGTGCGAGACTTAGGCGTAGGACATGCTGGAAGAGCCGCTTTCGGACCATCGGTTTTGCACGGGTGGCATAAAAATGTGGCCTGCGACAGAGCCGACGAGGAGCAGTTCGAGCTTACAGTTACAGCACAGTAACCATGAGTAGAAGCAACAACGACAGTTTTCTCGAGATCCTTCTGCATTGCTTAGAACTTCGATTTGAAGTAGCCACTCCTGCGGAACACATCTCGTTGGACTGCCTTCTCACCACCAGGAAAATAATACCATTCATTTGCCTTCCTTTTTCCAATGGGTAGGTTCTGTAATGTTTGCAACACACTAATTTGTCAAATGCTTGCGTAATAAAAGCTACAAAAGCTTGGAACACTTTGTTTAGAGGAAAATATATGCAAACATGAAGCTATTAGCCCGAGGCATTGCGTCCTGACGGGTGGCAGCGGTACTCACGCGGTTTGCGTGTGCTTTGGTCACCAGAACGCAAAGGTGACAGTTGGATCTATTGGCCTGCGAGATGTCACTTAAAAGGACCTACTGAGTCGCGCCGTTGTGGTGCTGACAGGGAATGCTGCATGATGCAAAATGGTGAGAATTGCCCGCGCTTAGGATGATGTGCGATCGTTTTTGACTGACGCAATCAATGTGCAAGCGCAAGACATTTTGGATTCGTTGGATGCAACCACATTTAGGCAGTGGGTGTGCGCCGACCGCTACACTTACGCTGAACTTGTTCTGCCAACAGATGAGTTTTTTAACAAATTGTCAGAAGCATTAGTTGCAGTGACTACACATTGTTTTACGGCCTAGCACCAGGGCAAATTTTCAATGACCTTTAAAACGTCTGCCCGAGAAAGGAGCTTTGGTCATTTTATACTTTTGAGAAAATTACACCGTCGTCATTCAAGACGAAGTTCAGCAGTTTCATTGGTATGCAGCGCAATGCACGCTGTAAACTTTCGTGGCATATTGACCAGACCCTGGACAGATTGTGCATGCAATTTATTGCACGCTGTCAGACGTCATGGAACATAACAGTATTGCGGTCCATAGGTTCTGGAGTACCTATTACTGGAAGTGAAAAGCCTAATTTCAAACATGGAAACCTTTACTTTTCAGATGGATCGGCTGCGCAGCACAAGGGCAGGCTTAAATCTTTGGACATTTGCTTTGATGAAGACTTCGGCGTGAAGTGCTAGTGCATCACATTGCCATATCCCCTGGGAAAAACTTGCGACGGAGAGGGGACCTTGAAAACGGCTGCTGCCAGCGCCAGGCTGTCGCACCTCCATTCTGATTATGTTCTGACTGTTGAGAGGCTATGCCAGCTCTTGCAGGGCAAGGCTAATGTGTAGACGGTATGTTTCTTCGTCCCCAAAGGAGAAGTCCCTCTGGCAGAGGATGAGGCCAGCATCCTATTGGCTACGGCCAAAACTGTCAAATGGTCACTTCAGGCTCACAGAGTGACACCAGTGATTGCTCAGACTGCCGTTAGGTAGTTAGGCGCGGGCGTTGGGAGGAAGATAGCGGTCGCTTGATTTCAAGAGTTTTTGTGAATAAGAGTGAGTTAGGCTGAGTCAATGGCGCACTGAGTTAACTTCCGCATGCATGCGAGCTTTGTATTTTCTTACAATGTGCTCCTTTCCGCCACTTGTGCGGAGACGCGCGGGAGATACTGCGCCTGCAGCCGACGGCGGATGGCGCGAAGGAGGCGTAGTCCCTTATTGTGACATTGTCTCCAAACCTCTCCAAGTCGATAACCACCCTTTTGGACCTGACGGTTTTAAATACGCTTTTTCACGTGTGAACGAGGAAATATTTGAAATCACGTAGGAAAATGGTTCTGCATGCATTACAAATGTTCATAATCTACTATCGATGTTTCTTGTGTGATCATGATTTGAACCACGGCCCACACTTTGTCAAAAATATTTTTAAAATCTTTTCGAGGCATCGGTTTACACGGTTTTATTTCATCGTAGTGAAAAATCGTATAAAAAAGGCCGAACGTAGCCCTTCAATCACACGACTCGAAAATGCCGGAGGCTGTAACCACGGAACCGCCCAACTGAGAGACCTGAAAAGGTCACAGGCGTCTTCAGCGCCACTAATGACCGTAACCACGGAACCGCCCAACTGAGAGTCCTGAAAATGTCACAGGCGTCTTTAGCGCCGCTAATGACAGATGTAACCCGTTTGTGCCAAAATCCAAGATATGAGGGTGTAAAAGTGATCGTTCGGCCTGTCGATTTGTCGTGAAATTCCCCGAATCGGAAATCGTGCGGGGCCAGCTGTGCGGTTACTCGTGCTACACGTTACGTGCACAGAGGCAGCCAGGAGGAATTTATCCTGCTTCATGTTGTTTCTTTGATTTTTACCCCCATACTTCAAAAGCCAGGGCGCGTGGAGGTGGAATCCGACTTCAAAGCGTCGGTGAACAAACCATCTGTAATTCATATAGCCAACACGAGCTTGTGCAACGCACGGTTGCGCCAGTAATAATCGGGCAAGCCGGGAATGCCGGTATTTCGAAAGACGGCACACATACCATATCTTGTCGTTCAAACTGTACCGAGGGTCGCGGCAAAATTTACATCACGGCATGCACCGATTCAATGCCTGTGGCTACTAACCGTTTTTACCTGATACTGCGCACTGTCGCGCAAAGGTCAACTTTACGGAATGGGCTCCAATTCCACATTTTTGCGCCTTTGAAATGACGCCGGTTGATCGCTCAGTTGCCGCCGGCGAGTTTAATAAGTAAAACGACAAAATATGGATGCATCTTATATTGCCCGCGTCCAGCAACTGCCATTCATCTTAAGCTCATTCATCCGCTATTCTCAGCCGTCATTCCTTCATTCATTCAGTTTTTGCGGCGAAGACGGTGACGCACAGCGACGATCAAATGCGTCACATCAGCTTCTCGCTCGTTGGGGAATGCTAGAGGAAGCGCGCGTATGGAGCGAAGAATGATTTGCAAAGGATGCAATGAAAGAACTCATGAAATGCAGCTTGCCAAAAGCGAAGCCCGCTGCTGCGGCAAAATGGCCCGCCTGGTGTATTGCGAGGTATGTGTTTTGTAGTCACCACAGCGCGCGACGACACAGAAAGATTGCAGTCGCGTTGAAAAGTGGCAGCGGTGGAATAAGGGAGATCTGGCATTCAGAGTGATAGCAATCACGGCTTACGTGAAGCTTTTCGAACTCGAAACATCACTTAAGCCTCACAGGAAATTTGGACAGCAAGCTTTGAAAGTTGGCCTATTGCTGGCTCTGTTTTCGTGACCAGATTGAAGACTTACTGTGTAGAATGATGCTTCCGGACCATTTATTTTCTGCTTTGGTGTGCCTCATCGGCTTCGATGCATGGCTTTTTGGCACGAAATCGACAAGGGGCTTGGCAGCGTTTATCTCAGGTTTTAAAAGACAGTAACCCGTGTGTTTACAGCCGCTTCCTCAAAGCATGAAATTGAGCTCTCCGGGCATTTGCGACATCCAACTCAGTACACAAACATACAGTGATGGAAAAGGAAGCAGGGGTGAAAAAGGTATCGATGTGCAGGGTATCATCGGTGACAAAAATGAACACTTTTGCGAGCTTTTTGGTGACAAAGTTGTGGAAATGGAAACCAATTACAACAGACCACCTCAGCTAGATTTCGGGCGTCGCAGTTCCCATCGATCCGGCGTCGCATTTCCTGGCGTTCAACGCCGGCTGATGATAGCTTCGGCTCTTTGCCCGGGAAAGTGGGATTTCCGCTAACAAATGCGCAACACTGGTATGTTCAGTGTTTGCAATGTTCAACGGATATCATTCACAGACCAGATTCCAATGGATTTGTTCGATTGTGGAGCCAGCGCATCGTAGGACATCGTAGTATGCATGACTATGCCAAAAATGCGCAAGAGTATGCTAAAAATGAGCAAGAGCATACCAGAAGGCTGCTGTTTTTCGTTTCCGAGGAAAAGCATACGTGAGAACAGCTGGAACCCCAGCCTGACTGTTCCAACTGACCCGGAGAAGTCTGCTTATTAAGATGATCCCACCCCAAAGTGTACATAAGTGCAGACCAACCATCGGCATGTTGCTTTTGCTCTGTTGCTCTGTTGCTCTGTTGCTCATCGGCAAGTTCTGTTGAACTGATGCATAACGTGGCAGCTTCTCGCTAGATATCCATCAACAGACCACCCTGATAAGTTAAAAACTATATTCCCTTGTGACGAAATTCAAAAGTTTTCTTTTGACGGGAGGTCCAGTGAGTTAACGGCCACATTGAAAAACGGCAGGTGGCCCAGGCCCGTTTGGTTTTGACGGTTTGAGACTATACAGCATCGAACATTGCAATCAGCATACCCACTGTTCTCCAAAGATGGCCACCCAATGAGATAGGCAACGAAGAAAGCAGCACAGTGCTGGAAAGCAAAGGCTATTTAAGCTATTGTTTTTTTGAAAGATCAAAACACGGCGCACTATAACAACATATTTTGTCTGGCAGGCAATGGCATATGGCGTGTGGCTCCCTCCAACAGGCGAGCTCTGCAAGTGTTGCAGGTACGCTGGGTCTTCTACTGGCCTATGGAGATCTGACCTTCGCCGCACACGAGCCGTTGGGTACATGTCTCGCTTCACCACACGGAGCGTTTGTTTCCTAGCGACATGTTCCCCGCTGACTGGGCGCCCCGCCGGAACCGCTGATGACTTCCCCTGGGCCGTGACGCGGCCGCAGCGAAAGCAGACAATCGGGCGCGGCGCCGCGGCCGACGGCAGTTGCTGGGCGATCTGGCGCTGCGCTGGAGCCGGCTCATCGCTGGACGATTTGGCGCGGCGCTGGAGCCGGCTCATCGCTGGACGATCTGGCGCGGCGCTGGAGCCGGCTCATCGCTGGACGATCTGGCGCGCAGCTATAGCCGTCTCATCCCCGGTCGCGTGGCCCGGTTCAGCAGGGTTTCTTCCTCCGCAAGAGGCACGCCCGGCCTGCAACCAGCGGACGGTCAGCAACGGTCGCCGTGTCAGGACCCCGCCACCAACGTCGACGTCACTGGCGATAGGTGATGCCCACCCCATGGAGTGTTACGGTAGCATGGCGTTGGCCGCGTGCCGGCTGCCAAGCTCGGCCGTAGCGCCGCGGGACTGGTATTTTTCCGACCCTACTACCATTGCCCTGAAATATCGCGCCAGCAGTAGTCAGTTTCTCAAAACAGAAATTCATAGATTTGGGCGCAATCGTACATGTTTGGCGTATAACCGTATGATCAAGTTTTTCAAAGCAAAAATGTACAACTTACAACTGCAATCTACAACACTAAAAAATACACAGAAAATGTACAATCTACGACACAAATGTACGCAAACAATCTTGAAGGAGCTTCTCAAACCCAAGAGCAATGTACGACAGAGCTTAATTTTGATAAGTCGTTGATGAATTTGGCAATGCAATCAACACAAGCATTCGGGTCATAGGTTATGATACTGAGCTTAAGATTGTTACTTGTTGAAAAACAAATTGCTGAAGAAACAAGCCTAAAGAAGTCGGTGAAGTGGGGAGGAAGAAGAGAAGTCGATCACGTTGGTAGATAATCGGGCAGTACCATTTTCACGATAGATTAATGCGATAAAAAGCCTGTTTGAAAAGTTTCTATTAGGTCTTATTGTATACCTAACAGGCTGCGCGCACACACCCTCTAAACGGAGGGCGGTTACGCACCGGGCTTATACGCCCTCCAAATCAGAGTGTGGTTACGCACCGGGCTTATACACCCTCCAAAATGGAGGGCGGCTACGTACCGGGCTTATACGCCCTCCAAATCTGAGTGTGGTTACGCACCGGGCTTATACACCCTCCAAAATGGAGGGCGGCTACGTACCGGGCTTATATTATACACCCTCCAAAAGTATTTCAGATGGTTGGGCGCGTCAAGCATACGCGGGTTGCCAGCTTAAAAGGGAGCAAGTGCAAATATGCAGAATATGGTGCGAAAAGTCGGCTCTTTGCGTGGTAGGCATCAAACGATCACGAAGTTCAACTCACTCTGGACCAGTGCTATTGTGAGCACAAATTTTCCGCCGCCCCGCCCGTATATCCAGTGGGTGGGTGGTTAGCATGCCGGTCTCGCACGCGTTAAGCCCGGGTTCACATCGCGACAACGGCTGTTGTTGAGTGGGTGGATTCTTGGGCTATCGGTGTGACGTGATGATGTCAGATCGCCTTGCTTTTAAGCGGAATGAATTCTAGTTTGGGCTTTTCATACCGGACAGCAGCGTATTTCTAATGCCAGAGGGAGGACTAAAGAAAAAGAGGACTCCGTCCCTCCAGGGGTAGGAAGTCCACACCCTATAGAGATATTGAGGATCCCGTGAAGGTTGGCCGTAAATCTAAATGAGGCCAGCGACCTGTGTAAACATTAAGTGGAAATGTGTAACGTGTAAGCCTTATGTGTAATATAATTTGCAAAATGTACAAACATTAGGGAAAATTTAGGCGCACACGACCCTTCCGGGCGATTGCTTCAAGATCATTCCACCCCAGCCCGGGGTGTCTGCCAGCTGCCATTCTGGCGACATGGAGGCGGGTCCGCCTGATGGGTTTGTCCGGAGGCCCTCTCAGATGTACGTCGTACATTGGTGCCCTCCCTGGCGCGAAAGGCCCTTTGGCGGCTTCTGGCCGGGCCGTCACAGGACCCCCTGTTGGACACTCTTAGGGGTCTGACCGTCAAAAGACCATTTATTGTTGTATGAACTCCAACCAATGCAAATCGCGGGTCTCGGTATCGTTCCTGCTAGAGAAATGGGGCCCCAGGGCTCAGAACAACACGGAGTCAACTATCCGGTGTAGTGGTCTCGGGCCGAAATAGGTGCCCGCACTGTCCCAGGGGTCCACAATCGGCAAAAGAGGCATATTGGCTGACATTTGAGATCACAGCCATACGGGTCAGGATGACCTGCAGCCTTTCGACCCTTACGGCCATTCAGCTATCCCATCGGCCCGTTGATCGTCAGTCTTGAAGGGCACATAGGTCCCTCTTTAGGCACCCTCGTACACTCCCTGACCAACTCGGGGGCCCTTGTCAACACCGGACCTCCGGTTAGGCGCTGTGCGCCCCTGGCCGACACAGGGGCCTCTCATTGGCTCGGGGTGCATTAATCAATGTAAATCGCTGGTCCTGACCTTGTTCTTGCTTGGGAAATGGGCTCCCAGGCCCAGGCCGGGGCCCAGTAGGTGCAACGGGCCCTCTGGCTGGTATTTGAGGGTCCGACCCGCGCCCCCTCAATGACCTTTAGCCAGCCCTTCGGTTCCCATATCGGATTTACGGTGCTCCCATTCGAGATTTCGTCGTGGTCACCTGAATGACACTTCAAGCTTAGGATCAATCATTTTCTCCCCACGACAGTTCGACATCAAGGGCAAATTGAATTCGGGTAGGGGCAAAAAGTGGGAAACAACAAAAGTTTCCCCCCAAAACGTACGGCAACAAGCAGCGGCGGATCCAGAGAGGCATGCGACATGCGGGGCATGCCCCCCCCCCCTGGGCCCCGAAGGGCCCCATTGGCTCCGGGGGGCCCACGGCCGGCCGAACAGGTGGTTTTTTTTTAACGCAAAACGCAACAAAATTGGGTTTCTCTGGACTTTCAGGCCAAGAACTTTTGTAAGCGAAAGTGAAGGGCCTATGAGAAGTTCCAAAAATTAATCAGTGATTGGAAAAGTTGTGAACTGGAAATCTTAAGCCCCATTGCACCGTCTAGGGCCCCATGCTATTTCCAGGGGACCTATATGCCCCTTGCAAGCTTATTTCGGCCGTTTAGGAGCATTCCACGTTGTCCTTCATTTATTTGCATTTGCTCAGAGGGACCTGCGCTGTTGTTGGGACCCTTCCTGTTAACGTGTCGGGGAACTCTTGTCAATGTCAACGGGCCTCGAACAATGTCAACGGGACCTTCCACGGATTATTTCCATTCGCCAGAAAGGCTCTGTGAGCAGTAGCCAGAGTCCTGTACCTTAACCTGCCGGGGTATTCCCGGTTGCTCAGGGGCCCTTTACGTGGGTATTGGTAGGTTACACCGACACACCTGCGATATGCCCATGGGTCCTCTACATTGGTCTAGGGCGTTTCCAATTATTTGTCACTTGCTTAGGGCCTTACCCCTTTGGACTCATTTGCAGCTGACTTTTCACTCCTATCGGGACTCGTGTTACTAACCTGTCCGTGCACTCTTGATTGCACAGGGATACTAATTTACAGCATTGAATAATTTCCCTTTGCTCGGAGGGTCCTGTGCTATGACCGGGGCTTCATAGGTCAGCCTGTTGAGGCACTACCGATCTTTCAGGGGCCCACCACGTTGGTCTTGAGTTTTTTTTTTTTTGCTTGCTCTGAGGACCCTATACTTCTTGCTGGCCTCCTGCGGCACCCATGACCGCTCAGGTTCCGTCCCTATTGACCTTGGTGCCTTCGCCTTTGAGCAGCAGTCGAACATGCGCCGATGAATTTTTACACTCAATTGCCGAACGTAATTACACATGCCTCTGCCGTCGTATGCGTCATTTCCACTGGCTTTTCAGCGTCACACTCATTTAGAATTTAGATTTATAGTCAACCTTCACGGGACCTCAATATCTCTGTAGGGTGTGAACTCCCTCTCCCTAGCATTAGAAACTACGGTGCTGTCCGATATGAAAAGCCCTACTTAAAATTCATTGCGCTTAAAAGCGAAACGAGTTGGCATCATCACGCCGCGCCGATAGACCATAAAGCCACCCACTTAACAGCGGCCGTCGTCGAGATTCGAATCCAGGCTTACCGCGTGCGAGACCAGCACGCTAACCATCCATCCACTAGAGATGCGGGCCCGGTGGCCGAAAATTCGTGAGTGGAATAGAAATGGTTCAGAGTGAGTTGATGGATTTCGTGATCGTTTGATGTCTATCACGCATAGAACTGATTTTTCGCACGGGACTCTGCATTTTTGCACTTTCTTGCCTCCAAGGCTGCCAATCCACGTATGCTTGACGCGTACAACCATCTGAAAGATTTTTGGAAGGTGTAGAAGCCCGGTGCGTAACCGTCCTCCGTTTTGGAGGGTGTATAAGCCCGGTGCGTAACTGCCCACCGTTTTGGAGGGTGTATACGCACTGCCTACCTAATTACATTGCTTCCAAGCGGTTCCATCAACACGCAACAGGTAAACCAAATGTTGACAGCAGAGAAAAGATTCATTTATACTTTTTTATTTTCTGTGATATTTCTTCAGCCCATGCCTTAAGCTTATCCAAATTCTAGGGAAAAAACGGGCCTGTCAATCAGTAACGTGCACTGTTCGTAGGCGTTGGATGCCGTCGACCCCATCATTGCTTGCATCGGTGCAGTGTGGAGCAAGGCGAGTTTTGAGGATCATTTCCTCCAAGAATCATTCATCTTGGATCGTGTTTTGGCATGTAAGCCCTGTAACCTCTGTAAGTACTGCAAGTAAGCTCTGTGAGTATAGTAAGTCAGCTGTGTAAGTACTGCATTACAAACAAGGACGCTATAAGGATATTTTTTGTCGCCTTTGCGTCAGAGATGCACGCTGAATGTTTTTTTGTTGTTTAGACACCACGAAGTTTTGAAAAGTTTCGGCAGCAAGAGACATACATCTGTCGATAGAAGCATGACCTTTCTTGTGGCCAGCTAACCGCAATTTTATGAATTTATCCGTCTTTACGAACATGTTTTTAAATCTCTGCGAAACATTTCTTAGCAAAATTGCAAATAAAATACGTTTAGTTGGAAAATAAAGGCTGAAAGTATTTAAACAATTTCACGAAGTTTTATGCTGTAACCCTTCTTGAAAATGGCTAGATCGGTTCGTGGAACATTTGTATTGTCGCTTGACACAAGTTGTCTTTTTGACGAGACAAAGGTAGCTCTGGTTACTATCTCATAGTTATGGTTGTAAATTTCGATAGGCTTGGTAGATGGCGAGCCCTCCAGACGTCAAGATCATCATTTGGCGTATGAGCGTTGTTTACGGAGCATTGACCACAAATCCCGGTATACCCTCGATGGTTTTGACCCGTGCGTGACCACCCTTGCCAGCCGTCTGCCCCCACCATACTAGTTCGTGACCATAAGGGTGCCTCAGCACACTTTTTCGGAGACGCGCGGGTACTCAGCGCTAGTCTGGCTCTCCGGTTTAAGGCGAGTTCAGTCGTGGCATTTTTCGTGATTCATGCATGTTGAGGGAGTGCTCAATGAACTTAAAAATATGTGAATTAGGAAATTTGGCTCTGCGGGCGGTATGACGTCATAAACGAGCATAAGCATGCACACAATCTGAAACAGTAGTTGCTAATTGTGTATCAGAGGGTTCACTATGCTGAACCATATCAACCTTGATCCGCACGTATGTACCATCCTTCAAGAGATGATGGTACGGGCAAATTTAATCTGAAACAGCTAGGCATGTGGACTGCCAGCTGACGCGCCTAGGAAAGACCTGAGCTGTACCACAACCTGTGTACTACCAGACCTTTTGTCTATCTTAGAGGCAAATGATTGACGCAGAGGATGCTGTACCGTTTGTTAACTGAGACACATAGCTGTCAGATCTGGTAGATGAATCCCAGGCTGGTATCCCAGCTTCTCCATATAGACGCTAGCCGGTAGCTAATCAGTTAAGTCAATCATTGAGAAGCCAACGGCGGCTCTCCGCATTTTGCGGTTTTTAGCAGTGTACAAAAGTTTGTAATGATGCTACCGAAAAGGGTGTGTCAGTTATTGAGATCTCAGCAGGCACTGTAGACGGTAGCAAGGGTCAGCTTAAGTTGCTAATGCAGGAGGTCAAAGCCCCCCGTCCCCGTCCCCCCCCCCCTCCCGGGTAGAGGACAAGCACTTCGAATAAGTTTGCAATGGACAAACTTAAACAAAATGTTTTACACTTGACGGTATCAAAGCAGGCACCAGATATGACGAAACAAGCTCGCTTATAACTATTGGTATACTTTTAAGGAGGAAAGACTGCTCTGGACACCACAATTTCTCTGCTGAGTTAATTATTCCTCAATACGTCATTGTTTGATTACGTCGTCGTACCTCGCGAAACACTGTTTGAGAGTTAATTAACGACCGTTAGGTCTGCAGTCGTGCTCAGCAACGCCGGATGTGAAGGTTTGGATGGCGTTGTTTTGACGTTGTGAATGCCAAGGTGACCAAATTGCTCTTCTCGAAACACCCTTCCCATTTTCGCGGGCGTGTAGCTCAGAAACTAGAGGGCTTAGGTCTTAAGAAGAAGAACAGGATTGCGAACTTCACCGAAATGTCTTTTAGGTGGGTATTTCAATTCAAAACCCCATATAAATGTTGAACACCCCCTTTAAATATGCAACAACGTACAATGTGTGTTCATAACAAGTCCTCGATGGAATCGATGTAACGTGAAGGCTTGTTTGGTACACATAATACCATTTCATATGGATTAAACTTTCATTTTCTATTGGTCACCGTCAAACAGAGGATACACAGGTCGTGGTGAGGTCAGATCAGATTGGACGTCAAATGTGCTCGCATTGCGTTCATACACACACCATTCATCTACTTCCGTTGCGAGGGTTTGTTTGACACGTCTCTCGACGAAGTTGAAAGGGAATGTTTTATGTTAGAAGATATTGAAGCAAGCATCAGATGTCATGACATAAGCTTAATTACAACTTTGGTGTACTTATGAGTGGAACATACCGCTCTAGGCAACATAACATCTCTGTTTCGCAAATATATTCCTCAATACCTAATTGTTTAATTACGTTACGGCACTTTCCTTAAAATTAGTTGAGAACCAATTGACGGCTATTATATCTGGAGATCACGCTCACGAACGCCAGATATAAACGACTCATGTCGAATGACAGGACTTGAATGACTTTATTATGCTGTCGTGGAGCCTGGGTGACCTTGAAATGCTCTCCCTTGACCTGGACCCTGAAATAGAAATAATCTTGTAATTATGCGGGAGTGTAGTTCAGAAGCTTGAAGCTAAAAGCTGGCTGTAACTAGAGAGGTTTAGACCTTAAGAAGGGCAGGGTTGTGAGCTTCACCGAATGAGCTTCAAGATGGGTATTTCAGTTGAAAATCCCATACAAATGTGGAGCAATCCTCTCAAGACGTTCCCCATTTTTAGTTCATTTTTTATTCTTTCACTACTGCATTCCAAAAAAAATCATATTTTTCTCCCATTAAGTGACACACCTCCTCCATGCTGCTGTCAAAATCATAGAACCTAGTGGTAGGAGAGCCCTCAGGGTTATGTTTCAGGCGTTCAGCCAATGCTAATTTCTATTCTTATAACCTCTTCCTGGACGTCTTTGATCGAAAATGGCCAAAGCAAGCAAGCTTGAACTTTTTTGTGTACCCCCAGATAAGCATGAACGCACCTTGATTTATACAAACATGATACTGCTGAATTCGCCTTAAACCGAGCAACCAGGCTAGCCCTGAACATCCATACTTTTCCTAAAAAGTGTTATTCAAGGACACCAGGGCGACCATCCTTGTCGTTAATTTGCACCATCCATGCCAGTCATCCGTACGTGACCATCCTTGTCCTTAATCTGCACCATCCATAGCAATCACTCGCACGTGCCCATCCTTGTAGTTGATCTGCACTATCCATACCAGTCATCCTTACGGGCCCATCCTTGTCGTTAATCTGCACTATCCATACCAATCATACTTACGTGGCCATCCTTGTCGTTAATCGGCACCATCCATGCCAGTCATCCTTACGTGCCCATCCTTGTCGTTAATCTGCACTATCCATACCAATCATACTTACGTGGCCATCCTTGTCGTTAATCTGCGCCATCCATGCCAGTCATCCCTGCGTGACCATCCTTGTCGTTAATCTGCGCCATCCATGCCAGTCATCCCTGCGTGACCATCCTTGTCGTTAATCTGCACCATCCATGCCAGTCATCCGTACGTGACTATCCTTGTCGTTAATCTGCACCATCCGTTCCAGTCATCCCTGCGTGACCATCCTCGCCGGTCATCTGCTCCAACCGTACCAGTCATCCCCGTGTGACCATCCTCGCCGGTCATCTGCTCCAACCGTACCAGTCATCCCTGCGTGACCATCCTCGCCGGTCATCTGCTCCAACCGTACCAGTGATCAGTGCGTGACCATGCTTGCCGGTTGGGGCTGGCGCCGTCGATGTCGAGGAGGGAGTTCCAGAGCCATCCCGACGCGGGGGGCATGTCCACCTCGGTCAGGGAGGGCGTCTCGGGCCCGGAGGCGGTGAACGCTCGCACCTGGGGGCAGCGCACCACCAGTCAGAGGCGCCCAGATTCCGTTCAGAAGCCGCGGGCCTGCTCTGTGGCACATTCGACCAGTTGATCGTTTATGAACTGGTCAAACATGATATTCTTTTGCTGTTTGCCCTTAACACCTCTACAGTGAAACGGACGAGACTTTAAAGTGAGTCGGCACTTAACCGCACTTGCGTTCCTCGACTATTTCAACATGACTGCTAGTGGACCTTGCAGAGTTAACAGTCACGAGCGTCTGGCGACCCCGCGCCGGACCTGCAGGGTTAGCGGTCACGGCATCTAGCGCCCCAGCGCTGGGCCTTGCAGAGTTAGAGATCACGGGCGTCTGGCGACCCCACGCCGGATCTGCAGGGTTAGCGGTCACGGGCATCTAGCGACCCTGCGCTGGACCTTGCAGAGTTGGAGATCACGAGCGCCTGGCGACCCCGCGCTGGATCTGCAGGGTTAGCGGTCACGGGCATCTAGCGACCCTGCGCTGGACCTTGCAGAGTTAGGGATCACGAGCGTCTGGCGACCCCGCGCTGGATCTGCAGGGTTAGCGGTCACGGGCATCTAGCGACCCTGCGCTGGACCTTGCAGAGTTAGGGATCACGAGCGTCTGGCGACCCCGCGCTGGATCTGCAGGGTTAGCGGTCACGGGCATCTAGCGACCCTGCGCTGGACCTTGCAGAGTTAGGGATCACGGGCGTCTGGCGACCCCACGCCGCTGACCGCTGACCTTGGTGGACGGGACCGGCCTCGCTGGTTCTTCGCCCCCCTGTGGCTTCATCTGGTGGATGGGCACATCCGTACCCCACAGAATCAGCTTGATTTTCTCTACCTGCCCATGGTTGTCCTCGTCCGTCTGGGGACGGCGACGTTCGGTCACACAGTCGGCCGGTCTGTGGCTGGTGTCTGTTGCACCAATCCGTCAGCGATAGATGAACGCGGGCCTACAAAACCAATCTCAGAATGCAAAGTGCCGTGGGCCTTGAGTGATGGGAATTGCGGTGTATATATATATATATATATATATATATATATATATATATATATATATATATATCGAGTACTTAGGTAGAACAGTCTCTTACAGACATGCTCGGCTATATATCAAGGCATAATGGCCATTCTCAGCCTTGTTCTAGTCCTTTCCAGTCTCCATATTCAACAGTTAATTTGGTGAGTAAATAATGGATGACATTTTCGAGAGCCGACACATAGATTGCAATCATGACAAAGATAAACATTTATATGTCATGACAAGGATAAACATTTACATCGAGTAGAACGTAAAATTCCGTCACGTCAGCTGCTCGTATCACCTGCAAGAAAATATATCCCAATTCTGACATTTGTTATTTCCCACATTTTTTTACCACAATTCCCACATTTGGTAGCCTCATTTGTCACACTTTACAAGGCATCTTACCAGTTATTCTTAACTTCAGTAAAAGATGCATAACCGGCGGCAACAAATAGTTGTCAGTTGACGTATCAAACACCAACCGTTAACTGGGTCGTGAACAATTTATCGTAGATGCATTCATGTATGCCGCCATTTTCCCTGTCACGCACCTCAGGTCATGTACTAAAAGCTGAGCCTGTGATAGCTCTTCCCTATTCACGCATGGTCGTGTTCAAGAACCAAAAGTCTTTGGTCTAGATGGCTCCCCTAGAGACAACCCTGAGCACCTCGCAAGGACCACGGCGCTCGCAGAGCCCCACCTTTCTCCTTCCTCGAGCACCTATGCCCGCGGCAGCCCCTCCCTTGCGCTGAACCTCGCTGTCGTTAATGCTGCCTGGCCGCTGTTTAGGCGCCCGTCTCATGTTAGTGTAATGAGCTGTGGGCTGCTGGCGGCGCCCTACGTTCGGCTTACGTTGTCGTGGATCACGAGAGTCCATTTGCCGCGAGGGTTTTCGGCCCACGTCGCCACCGACGTGACCTTGAAGCCGTCAAATCCGCGGCTCGAGTCGTCCAGGCGTCGCCGCACAAGGACCGCGGCGGTGGTGCCTGAAATAGATACGCACCATTTGCGGGACGCTTCGTCTCGCTCGGTAGCCCCCCCCCCCCCCTGGTACGAACCGAAAGAAGGGAATGGGGGAGTGCAGTCCGTTGACAACGGTCTGGGAAAGGGGGCTCGGGCATGCCGACAGAGGCGGGGTGTATTGTTGTGCACCCATGTGCTGTTAGTGACACGCCTCAGTCGGCGCTGTTGCAGCGATGGGGCTGCTCTGACTGGATATCAGTAAAAAGCCAGATCAGGAATGATCCGCGAATCCATAAGCCATCAGTCATCAGTAAGTATTTGAAGAGCCTGACTTTTGCAGGCACCCTAACCTCCAGGTGGCACAAGATAACGATGGTAGAGTCCCAGGCCATCCGAGTCCCGTTCTCTGACCTTGAGGCGAGGTCAGGTCGGCCTGGAGGGCGCCGCGCCTGGTGTAGTTGAGGTGGAGCACCACCTCGACGTGCTCCAGGTGCCGCACCTCGTGCTCACCGCCACAGTCGATCTCGAACGTGACCCGTGCCGGCTCTCCTGACACGAACTGGTGAGGCCCGGAACTGCCAAGGGGAGTGGGCCTGTGACAGGGGGCTGCCGACGGGAGCCGGCTCGGGTCAGGGGCTGCCGACGGGAGCGGGCCTATGACAGCGGGCTGTCGACGGGGGCGGGCTCGGGTCAGGGATGGCCGACGGGAGCGGGCTCTGGTCAGGGATGGCCGACGGGAGCGGGCCTATGACAGCGGGCTGTCGACGGGGGCGGGCCTATGACAGCGGGCTGTCGACGGGGGCGGGCTCGGGTCAGGGATGGCCGACGGGAGCGGGCTCGGGTCAGGGGCTGCCGAAGGGAGCGGGCTCAGGTCAGGGGCTGCCGACGGGAGCGGGCTCGGGTCAGGGGCTGCCGACGGGAGCGGGCTCGGGTCAGGGATGGCCGACGGGAGCGGGCTCAGGTCAGAGACTGCCGAAGGGAGCGGGCTCTGGTCAGGGATGGCCGACGGGAGCGGGCTCTGGTCAGGGGCTGCCGACGGGAGCGGGCTCTGGTCAGGGATGGCCGACGGGAGCGGGCTCTGGTCAGGGATGGCCGACGGGAGCGGGCTCTGGTCAGGGATGGCCGACGGGAGCGGGCTCTGGTCAGAGATGGCCGACGGGAGCGGGCTCGGGTCAGGGATGGCCGACGGGAGCGGGCTCTGGTCAGGGGCTGCCGAAGGGGGCGGACTCGGGTCAGAGGCTGCCGAAGAGAGCGGGCTCAGGTCAGGGATGGCCGACGGGAGCGGGCTCTGGTCAGGGATGGCCGACGGGAGCGGGCTCTGGTCAGAGATGGCCGACGGGAGCGGGCTCGGGTCAGGGATGGCCGACGGGAGCGGGCTCTGGTCAGGGGCTGCCGAAGGGGGCGGACTCGGGTCAGAGGCTGCCGAAGAGAGCGGGCTCAGGTCAGGGATGGCCGACGGGAGCGGGCTCTGGTCAGGGATGGCCGACGGGAGCGTGCTCCGGTCAGAGACTGCCGAGGGGGGCGGGCTCGGGTCAGAGGCTGCCGAAGGGAGCGGGCTCAGGTCAGGGGCTGCCGACGGGAGCGGGCTCTGGTCAGGGGCTGCCGAAGGGGGCGGACTCGGGTCAGAGGCTGCTGAAGGGAGTGGGCTCGGGTCAGGACTGCCGGGGGGAGCGGGCTCATGACAGGGGCTGTCGAGGGGAGCGGGTTAGGCTCAGGACTACCGAGGGGAGCGGGCTCGGGTCAGGGGCTGCCGAGGGAAGGGGCCAGGTCAGGTCTGTCGGGAGAGCAGACTCGTGACGAGAGTTGCCGAAGGGAGCGGGCTCGGGTCAGGGGCTGCCGAGTTGAGTGGGCCCGGGTCAGCACCGGGCCGACACGCCGGTTTTACGGGCGGGTTGCATGCTAAAATTGAGATGCAAAAATATAATTATAACAGCGATGTTTGAAGCTATCTGTGTAGCATGACTGATGTCGCCTTTCAACGTTATTCGCTCTGGGTTTTGTATTTTACACGCATCGCGTTGCCTCCATTTAAGCACCAAATATCATAACTGAGCAAACTTATTTGTTGGGTACGTTACATTTCATATTCAAACCGAGCGTGTATTTTTCAGTGGCAGACTTGAAGAGGGCCTGCGACCAATACGGGTCCGACATATATTGGAGTGTCGGCTGTCATCGGAGAATGCACAGACGCCAAGACGGTCAGAACGGTGACTGGTCGGGTCGTGGCGGGCCGCCGCAGCCAGCATCCAATAAGCTGAACTATGACAGGCTCAGGCCACGTCCTCGCCCGTAATGACGTCACAGCACATCACCGAGTACCACCACTGATGCCACCATCACATAGTCGGTTGGTGATCTGAATATCTGGACCCGCGGGGCGAGGCCACTGATCTCCGCAGGCGCCGAACACGCTGGAGCACGTTCTCACGCCTCGCGCGCCTGCTGACCTGATTTGACCCTCGGCCTGGCAGTAGCGTCTGGTGACGTTCGCCGACATAGAGAGGTTCCACCGGCGGGCTTCGTCCACCATCGCGTCAGCATCCACCAGACCGAATCCGACCCTGGCCAGCACAGCTGACGTCAGCACGTGGGGAGTGGAGCATGGTGAATCCGACCCTGGCCAGCACAGCTGACGTCAGCACGTGGGGAGTGGAGCATGGGGATTGGCGCTCACTGACAACGGCCAGCTGTTGCTTCAGACAGAACGCAGGGCTCCGGTGGTAGCAGTGTCGCCGGAGTCAGTGGTTGGCAAATTTGTAAACCACTCAACGGTGAACCATGGTTATCATCACGTTGTGTCCGTGTTATCGCAATATGCAGTCGTGACATGACAACTGAACGAGGCAGCACCACACGACAAAAAATGAGAACCAGTGCTTTTAACGAGGTTCTTATTGTTCAAACAAATTAGCGTAATGGTCAGCTTCGCAACGGTAACCGATCGTTTTAACTTGGTGCAGTCCGTGGCGACCAAAACAAGTTGTGGTCAACACAGCATGAGCCGTATTGCGTGGTCGACCAAGAAAACCGAAGGAATCCGGCGTACGGAATCGTGCGGCGGAATCTGGAACGTACGGAAACACAACAACAGAAGGGTACGGCGAGATACAACGAACGAAACCGCCGGGCGCGGTGATCCAAGCAAACGCCGTCGATCGTGTGAGGCAGCAACCGCACCCCTTCAGCCGGGCGTGACCAGCTCGGCAGCGGCGGGAGGCACGGAGCGCGCGGCCGACCCCGAGGCCAGCTCGGTGACGGGGGGTGGTACAGAGCGCGCGGCCGACCCTGAGGCCAGCTCGGTGACGGGAGGTGGTACAGAGCGCGCGGCCGACCCTGAGGCCAGCTCGGTGACGGGGGGTGGTACGGAGCGCGCGGCCGACCCTGAGGCCAGCTAGGTGACGGGGGGTGGTACAGAGCGCTCGGCCGACCCTGAGGCCAGCTCGGTGACGGGGGGTGGTACGGAGCGCGCGGCCGACCCTGGGGCCAGCTCGGTAGCGGCGGGCGGCACGGAGCGCGCGGCCGACCCTTGGGCGGCGCCGCAGCGGCCGGCCTCACCAGCTGCTGTATCGCAGACCGGCAGCGTTCGTCACCCACGGACCGTTGCTGGCCACCGGCTCCATCTGGGCCGTGTACACCACGATGTGTTGCACATCTCTCCAGGTCAGCTCCGGGCTGCCGGCCGAACGGGCACGGGGGACGGGGCTGATGCTACCAACCGACAGGACTTCTCCAGGACACTGGCGGACACCGCTCTGGGTACCGTACAAATTAACATCAGTGACGGATCGCCGTGCTTGCATCAACGCATACACACATGATGTGTGTTCTGACTCTCGACATTTGCGCTGGTCGCGAACGAGGCGTAACGCAACGTCATATCATGCATTTTTGAGTCATAAGCAACACGGTATAAGTGAATCTTGTTCATCTAAGCAGCTTGCGTGCACTGTATTATATTTGTGTGTTTTATTGTTTTGGTTCATGCGTGCGTGCGTGCGTGCGTGCGTGTACGTGCTTGCGTGCGTGCTTGCGTGCTTGTGTGGGTGTGGGTGTGGGTGTGGGTGTGGGCGTGGATGTGGGTGTGGGTGCGTGGGTGTGTAGGCGTGTGGGTGTAGGGTGTGGTTATGATTGTGGTTGATACTGTGGTTGTGCCTGCGGTTGGGGTTGCGGCTGTGGTTGTGGTTGTGGTCGTGCGTCTGGGTGCGTGTGGGTGAGCGGAGGTGTGTTCATTCACTGAGCTTGACTCACTTGACCTCCAGCATCAGCGCCACCATACTGGCTGCCATGGGGGCGGACGCCGAGGTGCCGGAGAACCCATTAGTACAGCCGTTGTACAGGTCTGTTGTGACCTGGTGACAGATTGAATGACCGCTATCGGGGACGACCTTTGAGCGGTGACGATAGCAAAGAACGGTCCTAAAGCTAAAACTCGACCATTGTCTTTGCATTGTTTATTTGCGCACGGATGTGCTACATCTGACTGAGCCGTTTCATTACCAGAATGTCTTTACCCTTGTGTCGACGTTAAGTGCCTCTTGAAATAAGGATGACGTTTTAGCTTTGGATCGGGACGTGCAATCGCTTCCTGCACCGCCAGCACACTGCCATCGAAGCGATGAACGGAACGTGGCAGTCACGCACCACGCTGTCGGGGTCACCGTGGGCGTAGGTGACGGCCAGTGTGGAGGCGCAGACCTCGCCGTACCAGGGCATGCGACCCTGCTTGTCCACACTGCCCACGGACAGTGAGAACGGGCTGGACGCGTAGCCGTCACACGCGCAGCTGTCGCCCTGGGCGCCGCCGTTGCCGTTGGCCCAGACGAAGATGACGCCCTTGCCGTCGCGACCCTGCGCACACGGGTCGGCAGGTCATAGGCGGGGACTGGACCCGGGCAAGCCTGACAGGTCAGGGTATAGTTTTTATGGCTTGGTGAGATGCACATTGATACACATTGTCGTTAACGTTACCCTCTTTTTAAGCGCTGGTCAAGGAGTGAGATGAAAGAGAAGCCGTCTAGGTTAATCTGGTCCGCTGAGAGGGCGCCTTGGTGATTGATCCCGCAGCACTGTTCAAACCACAACAAACCTGTCTAGGTTAATCTGGTCCGCTGAGAGGGCGCCTTGGTGACTGATCCCGCAGTACTGTTCAAACCACAACATGCGTGACGCCACAACCGACCACTCAACTTTATTCACTGGATCTGACTAGTGCCTAAACTACATAAATGACTGTATGGTCGGCAATGTTCACGTCCCGAACACAGAAGCGGAGGCGCAGAGGCGCACCACCCCGTCCCAGTCTCGTTCGGCGCCACCCCCGCCCTCCCGCCGCTCAGCTGGCCCCCGCGCTGGTGAGGGGGCGCGGGTGGGAGCAGCAGGCCTTACGTGCTCGATGCCGGTCTCGATGGCCTCCTGCAGCAGCCGGCCGGGCATGTCAGCGACGTGGCCGTCGTCGGTCGGCCCCCACGACACGGACATAATGTCGGCGCGCCGGCTGAAGACGCTGAACGCCTCGGCCTCCGTACGGTCCGTGATAATGCCGTCCAGCAGCCGGACGGCTGCGACAGCACCACAGACGCATCCAGAGGCGCTGCACATGGACCGACGTCGCACGCGCACGGCACGGTCATCACACGGAGAGTGACGGCAAGGTCATCACATAGGGAGCGACGGTAAGGTCATCACACGGAGAGTCACACGAAGAGCGACGGCACGGTCATCATACGGAGAGTGACGGCACGGTCATCACACGGAGAACGATGGTACGGTCATCACACCGAGAGCAACGGCATGGCATCAGGGCAGCCGGCGAAAATGTTGTCAAGCCTCTTCGACGATATTCGTGACATTCTTTCCATCTTTGATTCAGGCCAAGATGCTGTACAGCCCTATGCATATGCTTTATGCCTAAGGTATATGTAATGCATAGAGTGATGACATGACTTTTCATTGCCGTACATCGAAATCGTCAGGAATCGGAAATCAGCTTCCGCTCATCACTGCATTTCAACGTGCACACTACACGTGCTGGCCAATGCGTCATTACATGAAATTTAGGTGGTGAGCACCCCAAAACGCTTGACCGCAATCTCATGGTTGCATTATGAGCGGTGCAAGGATCTGCATACACTTACGCTGCACGCTATGCCTGCCGGGCACAGCAGCAATTGCCACGGCACTTTTGACGAGTGGACTTGCATAAACGCGGCATCACGAAATGGCCACACTCTCAAAAGCCCACGTTTTGCACGTGAACACCGTGGCCTTTTTCAGCCCTCTCCAAACGTGCACTAGACCTGACATCAGCATGCGCGTGCGGGCCGACAGCGTCACGGCGGTCGTCATCTCGGCAGGGGGCGGCTGACCGGGCGACCGGCGCAGCGAGCGCCACCTCTCTCACCGCCGAGCCGCGCGCCCGGAGCGATGCCGACGCCGCAGAAGCCGTTGTTGGGCCGCATGGAGACGATGCCGGCGCACTTGGTGCCGTGCTCGTTGGTGTTGCGGCGGTCGTAGCGCGGCGCCGGGTCGACGTCGCCGTCAACCACGTCCCAGCCGAGGTCGGAGTCCTGCCGACGCAGCCGCGCAGTCGGCAACTCCGGCGCGCGCACCACGACGCCACACGCATAGCTGCTTTGTCTGGTTTCGCTACCTGTTTTGTCTTTTATAGCGTGTGCGATGTTAGAATTGCACTTACCTAGGGATGTGCTAGGTCGGTGCTGTGCTTAAATACGTGTGCGCCAGGTTAATTAGTGTTTACATGGCGTGTGTGCGGACGGCACTGGGGATACGCAGGTGCGTCCCAGGCCGGTTAGTGTTTACATGGCGTGTGTGCGTACGGCACTGGGGATACGCAGGTGCGTCCCAGGCCGGTTAGTGTTTACATGGCGTGTGTGCGTACGGCACCGGGGGTACGCAGGTGCGTGCCAGGGTTTACACAGGTGTATGCATGGTCGGTGTTGAGCTTCAGTAGGTAACCGCAGCACTGTCAGGCTGGTGTTGTGTTTCCAAAAGTAAGCGCAACACTGTCAGGCTGGTGTTGGGCTTACATAGGTAACCACAGCACTGCCAGACTAGTGCTGGGCTTATATAGGTAAGCGCAACACTGTCAGGCTGCTGTTGTGCTTACAAAGGTAAGCGCACTGCCAGGCTGGTATTGGGCTTACACAGGTAAGCACAACTTTGTCAGATTGGTGTTGGGCTTACCAAGGCACGCGCCAGATGGGCGGTACGCTGACATTGGTCAGTTACCACCTATGACACCTCATCATTCCTGTAATGCCGAGGCACGCTCGCGATAAAGACATATGTGTCGGTGGGTCGGTGGCGTACCTGCAGAGGCGCGTGCTGCGCTGGTGCTGCGCTCACATATATTTGTGTCATATTGATTACCTGCCCACATGTTTGCATGGATCTGAGACTAAGCCACGTCGCTGAGATTAAGGAGCATGAGGCGTGAGGGGCCAAACTGGAATCTAGAAGGGGAGCAGCCTGGCCCGAAGATGCCATCTTGAATTAGGAGATGTAAAATGTGCATTTAACAAGCAAACTTGAGAGAAACGAACACTGCGTTTGGAAAATTAGTGGAGACATGTCCCCCAGCCCCCTCCCGCCCAAGCGATCACACCTATGCATGCGTTAAAGCATGGGCGACGCTGTACTTCCAGAGGTGCGTACCAAATGGGTGTGTTCTTATCATATAGACGTATGCTGAGTCGGCGTGGTTCCTACGGAGGCGTGGGTTTGGCCGTGTCATGCTCTCGCACTGAGTGTGTGCCAGGTAGGTGTTGTACTCACATAGAAATACACCAGCCTAGCGTTATGTATGTAGGCGTACGTCAGGTTGGCGTTGTGGAAGTAGGAGTACATCGGGTTGGTGTTGTGTACGTAGGCATACATCAGGTTGGCGTTGTGCACGTAGGCGTGCGTCAGGTTGGCGTTGTGCACGTAGGCGTGCGTCAGGCTGGCGTTGTGTGCGTAGGCGTGCATCAGGTTGACGTTGTGTACGTAGGCGTACGTCAGGCTGGCGTTGTGTACGTAGACGTACATCAGGTTGGCGTTGTATACGTGGGCGTACATCAGGTTGGCGTCAAGCTCACATAGGCGTGCGCCAAGCTTGTGCTGCACTTATACAAGCATACACCAGTACCGTGTTGTACTTACATAGGCGTGTGCCAGGTCGGTGTTGTACTTACATAGACGTGTGCCAGGTCGGTGTTGTACTTACCTAGGCGTGTGCCAGGTCGGTGTTGTACTTACATAGGCGTGTGCCAGGTCGATGTTGTTGCACTTACATAGGCGTGTGCCATGTCGGTGTTGTTGCACTTGCATAGGCGCGTGCCAGGTCGATGTTGTACTCACATAGGCGTCTGCCAGGTCGGTGTTGTTGTACTTACATAAGCGTGTGCCAGGTCGGTGATGTACTCACATAGGCGTCTGCCAGGTCGGTGTTGTTGTACTCACATAAGCGTCTGCCAGGTCGGTGTCGTGCTCACATAGGCGTCTGCCAGGTCGGTGTTATTGTACTTACATAGGCGACCGCCAGGTCGGTGTTGTTGTACTCACATAGGCGTGTGCCAGGTCGGTGTTGTTGTACTTGCCTAGGCGTGTGCCAGGTCGGTGTTGTTGTACTCACCTAGGCGTCTGCCAGGTCGGTGTTGTTGTACTTACATAGGCGTGTGCCAGGTCGGTGTCATTGTACTTACATAGGCGTGTGCCAGGTCGGTGTTGTTGTACTTACCTAGGCGTCTGCCAGGTCGGTGTTGTTGAACTTACATAGGCGTGTGCCAGGTCGGTGTTGTTGTACTCACATAGGCGTGTGCCAGGTCGATGTTGTTGTACTTACATAGGCGTGTGCCAGGTCGATGTTGTACTCACATAGGCGTGTGCCAGGTCGGTGTTGTTGTGCTCCAGGCCGTCATCCACAATGACGATTTTCACTCCGCGGCCGGTGACGCCCTGCCGCATGGCCTGCAGCACGTGCATGTTGCCGGCCGACTGAGGCCCCCGGCGCAGGCGGACCTGGGCGCGCGCCTGCCACGGCAGCGGTCGCTCGGTCACCGGGCGGAGAGGCGGATGGCAGGCAGAGGTGGGGAGTGGAGACAGTGAGAGACAGAGGCGGAGAGCGGGATCACACGAAACGAGCGACCCACCGAACGAAGACTTATGGACGGAGAGTACCGCACAACGTCACATATTTCCTGTCAATTTTGTCACATCGCCTCGATAATCAGAAACTCTTTGCAGCATCTGGATCATGCATAGTGGGCTATGTATTCCGATGAGTGTAGCTTGAAGTCTCACTCGTGTTCTGGATTCATTTCCAAATGTGTGTTTTTATTTTTGAGTGGGGAGGTCGGAAAAAGAACATGTACTAAGGCATTACTATACCTTGGTCCCTTCATCAAGTTGCTACAGTCCGACGCATGTCGTTTGCATGAAGCACCCAAGATTTTGACCTTATCTTGTTCACTCGCGGGTAGTAAAGCCATACCTCTGCAAGTTATATCTATAGCCTGATATGGTATAAGCACACAAGGCTACCAGCCGTTAAATTTCCTGACCTGCGACAGTTAAATGTACTACAATGGTACCAATTATAAAAAGTCACGGGATAACATAAGGCCTTTACATAACTGTCATCGAGGTAACACTTTAAGTGGTGAAAAGTGTATCTCCGACCAAATTTGTGCTTCACTCCAAATCGAGACAGGATCAACAGCAGTCGAAGTTCTAGCGAGCCGGGGTGAATTCAAGTTCCATAGCTCCAAGATGTGCTTGTGCAATACAAGGCATGCTAAGCCCAACCGAAAATATGGCCTATTTACATAAACACCACATGTTGCATTCGTGAAGTGTAGTAGTCGTCTTGAAAAGTGATCTTATAACAGATATATACTTTTTATCTGTTCAGTGGGTTAAGTAAGTAAGTGTACTCGATAGACTCACCTGAGCATTTGTAAGCGAATTTTTAACACATGCATGTCAGATTTGAAAGGCGAATGCGGGAACGTAGTATGCGAGAATGGGACAGAAAGTGTGTCGTATGTTAGCGAATGAATTCGAAGCCAACCCTGAAAACCATTGAATCATCGCTGCGCTAGCACAAAGCAAAATGCAACTGACCGAATACATTCCAATGCCACCAGCTGTTGCAGTTTAAACAGCTTACAAATCTCTTTATTTGTAATGCATGGAAAATGTGTTGCTTTGATGTCTCATCCAAACACACGTTCAATACGAACTTTTCGCAGACCACAGAACGATTGGTACTCCGAGCTGTCGTCAGCGACACTCACTCATTGGGAACTGATTCACTTTTCCCGTAATCAGGTGACGTTTGCTGAATGGGATGGGAGTTTATTTAGACCTGAACCATACCGCTGACCAGCGTACTCTCAGCCGGCTGTGAGCGTCTGCCCGGTTCCCGGTGGGTCAAAACAGGAGTTACACTGCGGTTTTCATGGTGGGGGGGTGGGGGGGGGGGCAAACCCGTGAACCTTGTCCATTTTATATCCAAGACGCATGCCTTGATGAATTGCGTCCACTTCACTCTGCAGTCATAATTTGGACTTGATATAAGAAAATCCTTACCTCCTGTTTTCCGGTACTAGAAAATAAAAGTTCTCATGTTGAGTTAGTGACTTTCAATACGACAGCAGGTATTGATTAAACGGTATTGAAGTGCTTAGCAATGAGCGTTTCGACGGTGCTCAATATTTGGAGCTGTTATCATCAAGAGCTCATCTCTTGGCACGAACACGGGACGGCAGATGGACATTGGTATTTTAATAACATTTCTTCACAGTGTATCGATTTTGCATCTTGTTTTGGTTCAAAAACAGACCATTTGCTGTAGAAGAACCACTCACGGGACTGTTACAGAACCTGCCTGTTATAGTGAACACTACACATGCCCACAAATGATGCCGCTACGAGGCTGCCCTAAGAGGCTGCAGGAAGCTAACGATTCCAAGTGGTTGCTGGGCCCCTACAGGAAGACCCAGCCACTGGGGCTAAAGAAGATACTGCACTGAATGCGAAAAATTGTTCCTAAACGAACAGTTGTTAAACAGATAGTTGTGGCACACTCCCGATTGATTTTCTATCTTCCTTTCTGTCATAAGCATTATCGTTGCGCTGCAACAATTGTGCTAAGTGTTGTCCTAAACGCCGGCCCAACGAGGCGTGGGTACCTGGGTAGGTCTGTCGACACTTCCGTCACCGCCTCGCTGCATTGCCTCAGCATTGCCTTCCTCAACTTTTATTTTCTAGTACCGGAAAACAGGAGGTAAGGATTTTCTTATATCAAGTCCAACTTCCGTCGACACTTCCGTCACCGCCTCGCAAATTGCAATCTTAAAGATTGCAATTTGCTACTCCTTAAAAAAACATGTGATTGAACAAATTCGCTTAAAATTCGACTACCCAAATACTTTCTGTCATCACAATTCGTTGACCTACGTGAAAAGGTCGCAACCCTGTGCTATTATAAGCGAACAGTATGAGCATTGTACATTTTCGTACAATTCCCGACTTTGTTTGTGTTTTTACTGAGGAAAATATATCTGGACTCAGTTTATCGAGATAAGATGAATGATCCACAATAGTTAGGCGTTCAAGAACAATGTCAAATGTAATAACTTCATCTTTGGAAGTGACTGCATCGACAAGTTGCTTTCCGTTCAGATTTTAGATAATTTTCATGATCATCACGGCTATAGACATGACTGCATCAGCACTGATAACTTCATTGGTAAAAAATAGCCACACCATGTTACCATGCATGGTCATCTGGCCAAAGGCTTCAACGCGTGTACGCCCGGCATGATTGTCATTTTAGCATGTTTGTGTACGCCCGGCATGTTTATCACTTTAGTACCGCCTTGATGCTCACGAATAGGTGGTCCTGGACGTAGTCATGTTGCCGTCCTGATGCTCACCATGTACCACTGCTGATCCCAGCTCGGATCGTTGAAGGGCTTCAAAATGTCTCGTTTGGAACGGTGTTTGCTAAATTGCTGCTCCACCCACACCACCTGGAATTTAAGGGTGCGTGTGTTAGCCATTATTACTCCGTAGGAATGTGGACGCTCGTAATTTGTGTGTGCACTTGTGCATGCAATTGGGCACTGCAATGCAGTGTGAAAGCAAATATACATATAAGCATAAATATATATATATATATATATATATATATATATATATATATATATATAGTGTGTGTGTGTGTGTGTGTGTGTGTGTGAACATATCTACATATGTATTTACTCTCTCCCTCTCCCTCTCCCCCTCTCTCTCTCTACTCTCGAGAGGAAATACCGAAGCATCTAATCTGCTTAGGATTCACTGCCGCCAATACCAGTGACGCCTCATATCTTGCACGATAAAACAAAACTTTTTGAAAAATTGTGCTGAATAAAATTATGATCCGAGCAACTTTGATCTTCCTTCTGCAAGTATTTAACGGTGCAAATTATCAGTCGTGCCTGGTTAAGTCAACTGCGACCTGTTGTTTTGTATTACATAATTTTCTGAAACAATTAAGGCTGCAAGCTATTTCAGACCCTGCTCTTAACATGGTGAGGATGAACTAAGTGCAATACAAGAGGTTCCCGCCTGCTTCGCTGCAGGATAGTACAGCATTGCTGGTGCCGGTTATGCATTCTCTTGGATTGTGGGGCAAACGTATTGCAATCACACAAACACACACACACACACACACACACACACACCACACACACACCACACACACCACACACACACACACACACACACACACACACACACACACACACACACACACAATTTGTAGTAGCCACTTTTGTAGGCGTTTCATGTCATCTATAATTATCATTGTCTTGCATCATGATTTATGTTGTTTTCCATTGACATGATATGATTATATTATCTACCTTATTGCTATGTTGCCATTAAATAATACCCTATTTTGTACATTTTATAGGTATGACTAGGAGACGTGAGTTAGAACATTGATCAAATGTCGGCGTAACTACAGCAGACCTTCAGCAGTCTGGGCAAGCCCTGGACCTTTAAGGCGTAGGTATATGTTGCAAATGAGGAAGTTTGAGGAACCGAATGTCGGGCTGAGGTCAACTTAAAACTGATTCCGTCCAGATTGTTCCCGATGGTCTATGTGCTGTTATTGCTGCAATAATTAGTGTGATCTGCGGTATATTGAAACGATCCGTGACGAAAAATTCCAAGATCTTTTGATAAAAGAATTTATCATAGATCCCGGAAAGCTCTGGCCTAAAGATCTAGATGGCGGTGTCAATTTATGGTAGTTCCGAGAGAGTGAGCATCAGCCCTATTGTGCTGCTTGACACTAATTTGCTTTTTCCCCTTCATGGCTGGTACCTGTCTTGCATCATCACCCTCAAACATGGGGTGGTAACCTAGATTTAACAATTTGCTTATTTCTGGCAGGCCGGCATTTTGCCCCCTTGCCAATGGAACTTTTAACAAACTGCAGGTGGTTTTTGGCTTGAGAGACAAAATTCGCTTCACAGATGTTTGCATCAACCTGATAACTGTCAATTTCCATTCCAATCCAATGTGGAATCTGTCTAAGTGAGAAGGCGGATTCCGTGTTCTCGACTCTCTTATACTCGTCCCTGTTACACGCACACGCACACGCAAACGCACACGCACACGCACACGCACACGCACACGCACACGCACACACACACAAGCACACCTCTGCGCATCAGGAACATCAGTAACAGCGTGCGGTAAATATCTGTGGAACTTCCAACATTTCAACTTTTAGAAAAGCACTGGATGTAAGCTGTATGCATGTCAGTTCTTAAAGATGAAGGGTCGTCGATGCCATCCATTAAAAGCGGCACAAAAACAGCTCCAGGTGTAACTTTATGAAGGATGTGGCCTTTATGCGCTAGCAATGAAACTATTCCAACTCAGTTCCAAATGCACAAGCACATGCTTCTCACATTGTACATTGTGGGTAGCCTGCAAACATGGAGCCACATGCTGCTTTGGCTACGACACGTGACATATGGTTACCAAGATCAATGTGGGCCTGTGATTTGCACTAAGAACAAGCTACGTGGAAATGAAACTCCCTCAGTGGTCTCGTGCCTCGGCAGGTTCAATAAAGTCTTTGAAGAGTGGCCATCGTCCCCCGTTTCCCCCCGTAGATGCAGGATGTGGTGAGTACTCTCCATGACGGGAGCCGGCGGTCATCCAGCTTCCGACGGCTCATATTACCTGCCGGCAGCTCTCAGCATGCAATACCGGCACTGCGCATGCCAGCCCTGCGGCGGTGGGGCACCCTGAATAGGAGCGCCCGGATGTGAACCACCCCACACAACTCCGGGTCCGATTCCTGGCTCCGCGAAGCAGCACCCAGCGCCCGTATTGCTGCCGTTCTCGGTGTCTCCGCGTGGGGTGTGCTGCCACGAGGGCGGGCGGCGGCAGCCAGGCCGACCGAGCACAACAGGTCAGGCGCTGTCCCTCCTCCGCCCTCCTGTATACCCGGCGTCTGCGACCCTGCACGGAGGGTCGGTGAGTGGCACCCTGGAGCCGTCCAGTCATGTTCGGTGCCTTTTACGGCGCAATTACTTATTTCGGCGACCTGGGTCGCATCTCCCACATGTCCTCCAGACATGATACGGAAGTTAACGTGTGTACGCGACGAAAATTTACAGGAACGTTGTCTTTTATAAGTACAACGATGAGAATCAATAGCATAGAATCACGAACTCTTCAGCTTCCCAACGCACTTTTTGCATTCGTGAGGTGGCGCGTATTGGCTTCACCGATCCGGCAACTTTGGCTTATATCCGTATGGATAGGGGTGAATCCACTGGATGACACTGACCGTCAACTTCCGGTACCGCGACAATGTCGTCTCTTTCGAGGACGCACGCTCACCAGTTGCCGCGAATGGATGTACCATGCTGGTGACCAGTGTGCTGCTCACCTTCGGATGGTCGGCCAGCCGCCTGGTGATGTGTTCCGCGGCCAGCCGACTGGCCGCGGGGTGCTCAGACTTCACCAGCAGGTGCACGTGCTCCAGTCCCTTCACCTGAAACCCACCGGAGCGGCAGGTTATTATCACCACAGCCAGCAGACGCCCAGCGGGAACCAATCAGTAACGTTGTAAAAGCGAACGGCTACGACTTGATGACGATTTGTATTTTCGACGGACTCGATCGATCGCTTCTTGCCACTTTGCGGGAGGAAGTGTAGGTCGTTTTAGCCAAGGCAGGGCTACGGTTGCGATCTCAGCTGCTGTTAACCCTATCAGACTCAACCGTACGACTTACTTCACAATTCCTGGGGTAGGAATAACCATCAGCAATTGTTATTCATGCATTTATTTCCTAACGCCTCTCAAACATCATGTCAATCCTACCCGGCTGCGTATTTTTTTTAGCTTGGGTTATCGATGAGCTTACCTGGTGAGTAGCCTTTTCACAAATATGCCTGGGGCAAGGGACCAAACAGCATCTAAATATCATTTCACAAGAAGGTTACGGGTACGGGGGAGAGGGAGGGGCGACAGTATGCATATGTATCAGGTGCCTAAGTATTTGATCCGTACATATTGCGCCCACTCCGCCAAACCCAGATGCAGTGCTCCGGGGGCTCATCACAAACTACCTACTTTGTCGGTCCAAATTCTTCCACACCCCCATGTGAGGGACATAGGCTTTCGCGGGTAGTTTTTGGCGACTTTTAGGAACAATGTGCATTCATAAGGAGTTCTTTGACAAATCGTTGATGACCCGCTAGTTAATGATAAATGCAACTGTGATAATATGATTGAAAATTTTTAGCTTTTGGCCATGCACCGCGAAACTTTGATCTTTTGCGCATTTATCAGAGTAGAAGTGGTAGACATAAATCTATACAAAATTAAGTAAGTTTCTCATTTTTCGCGGTAACGTTCAATTACACATCTTGCCCCATGGGTGGGGTAATATGTTCCAGGTAATTGGGCAAGTTGAGCAGTATTTGTCATCTATGATAAAGCATAGATGTTTCTGGCCTTAACATCATGGCAGGTGATGGCACATTTTTATCTTCATCATTATCATTATCGGAAGACGGCGTTCTCTTCTTCTTCGTCGACTTGCGCATCGCTTTTCTGCCTTGTGGCACTGCCTTCCACGTAGCGACTTGCTCCTCTTTTTCTGTTGTTCTTGGTGGACCTTCTACTTTCCGGGAGCCGATGTCAGTACCATCGATCGTCCTTGCTTACGGTTGGCCGTTCCACCCCGTCACGGTGGAGCTCTTGGTATGGGTAATATAGCTTCCACTGCAACATAGGTGACTAGTCCGTCCAGCATGGTTTCATCGAGCCCTAGTTCAGTCCCGTAAAAGAGTGTTACTTGGTCCCACATCGTAGGCACCCGCTCGATGCAGGGGGCCACCAGGCCCCACGCCGGGGGCGCCCGCTCGATGCCGGGCGCCACCAGGCCCCACACCGGGGGCGCCCGCTCCACGCAGGGCGTTACCTCGTCCCGCACCAAATGCGCCTGCTCCCTGCAGGGAACAGTTTGGTCCGGCGCCGGAGGCATCCTATTGCGGTTGTCGGTCACACCTGTCGGGGCGGATGCGTACTCTGAGAAGACTTCTCTGTTGAAGAGATGATTCCAGTTGCTTCGAATGCAGACTATATGTTAGACCCGGTGAAGGTCTTGATGAACGCGATATCCACGATTTTTGGAGCATCATAGATTGCTGCTGTCTTGCCCGGGTCTCGCCACATCCAGTCCGCCATCGCCCTGCTGTAGTAAGTCTTCAGCGGACCGAAAACCACTACGTCTAGGGGCTGAGGGCGGTGAGTAGTGTGCGGCGCTGGCGTGAGAATTGCCATCCTTTTGGCGCGAGTCAATTCGCTTGTCCTAAGTCTAGAGGCTGAAGGCGGTGAGTAGTGTGCGGCACAGGCGTGAGAATTGCCTCCTTTTGGCGCGAGTCAATTCGCTTGTCCTAAGTCTAGAGGCTGAGGGCGGTGAGTAGTGTGCGGCGCGGGCGTGAGAATTGCCATCCTTTTGGCGCGAGTCAATTCGCTTGTCCTAAGTCTAGAGGCTGAGGGCGGTGAGTAGTGTGCGGCGCAGGCGTGAGAATTGCCATCCTTTTGGCGCGAGTCAATTCCCTTGTCCTAAGTCTAGAGGCTGAGGGCGGTGAGTAGTGTGCGGCGCTGGCGTGAGAATTGCCATCCTTTTGGCGCGAGTCAATTCGCTTGTCCTAAGTCTAGAGGCTGAGGGCGGTGAGTAGTGTGCGGCGCTGGCGTGAGAATTGCCATCCTTTTGGCGCGAGTCAATTCGCTTGTCCTAAGTGAGATATGAGTGGCGTGGTTATCCAGGATGACGAGGGCTTGTTGCGCTGCCAAACACCCAGTTAACCTTTGAAAGTGGGTGAATATATCCTCAATAGGTCCCCAATAGGTACTCAATGAATACATCCACTTTTACCCATCCCCGTCGGTGCACATCCTGCAGTGCCTGTAATTGATCCTACAAGGAAATTCTACAAACAAGAAAATCCTTGAAGTTCACTCTAGGAAAGATAATGAGTGGTCGGACAGAATTTCCAACGGTGTCGGCTACACAAATCAGCGTACACAGTTATCCTCTTTCTGCGAACCTAATGAAACCCATCTGCTTCGGTCCCTTTTTTGTTTCCACTCTTTTCGGTGTCTGCCCCGTGGCAAAGCTCGTCTGCTCAAGTTTGTAGATGTCCTCAGGCGAATACGAATGCTTTTCAACACTCTCTCCAAGTTACCACAACATTTTCGAATCGTGTGATAGCACAAGCCAGGCACGTTGCCTTCGATATGCGGCCCCTGTAGTGGGTTAAATTGAGCCATGACCATGTTACTCACATTCGTGTTTGAACAAGTTGCCCCCCTACGACATGCAAATGAATCTGCATGACTGACGATTTGCTTTCAAGCTCAGCCGCGCGAAAATTATTATGATTTCGGGAGCAGACGTGGCCAAGTACACGTAAGTCAAAAAGCAAAGCGTATCTTTAATATTGAAGACAATAGAAAACATTGTACATGCTCGGAAATATTTACATGGATGGGTTAAAATTACATTAATGTCCAGAGCTCACCCTTCGCCGCCGTTCGCTTCAAAGCAGTAAAGACCGAGCTTCGCAAACATACCACCAGGCAGCCACTGGGAAACAATGGAGTCTTGGGGCGGGGGGGGGGGAGATACGGGGTGTGGATCAACTTACAAGCGTGCTCAAGTTACCCCAATTTACCCGATGTATGTATATATATATATATATATATATATATATATATATATATATATATATATATATATATGTACTTGCATATGCACGTAAGTCAGTATGAATAGGCGCATTTATAACTGCAGCGTTTAGATAGGTTACAAATAGCGCGTACTGAGTAATCCATAGGTGTTGATATTGTTGAGCAGGTCACAACTTCATCCGTGCATTGAGTAAACCAAAACTTGTTCATGAAACGGACATGTTAATCACGTGCTGACGGAAAAATAGTCTGCCGCCAAATAAGTTGGTGTTCACACTTGTGTTTCAGTCGGTCTCCTACTGGAAATTCTGCATTCGTTTGGCTGTCGTTATCTTCGGTTTAAGGAATGAGGTCGGGCAAAATTGCGCATTGCAGATTTTGCTGCAAACAGCTTGGAAAAGTGACTAGTCGGCTGCGATCGGCGGGAATTTCGATGGCGGTCTGACAAGAGCTTGCTGGTTAGATATCTGTGGACTATTTGCTGTGGTAGAAAATAAATCTGATAAAAAAGCGAAACAAAATAACCTTGTGCTATTGAGGTGCTCCAGGTTTCATGATCTTGTGATGCGGAAGTGCCCGAGGTTCCAGGATATTGTGCTGCGGAGGTGCTCCAAAGGATCTCCGATTTTTAAAAGCGTTGATATTACCATGGCAACCCCGCAGAAAGTATGTATACGAGTTAAGCAGATTGACACAGAAGCGGCGTTGGCGCTTTCGTACATTTAGGGCGGATATGATATATAGGGTGTGAAATGAAACGATTGAGATACAGCTTCTTGGCGGGTTTTTTTCGACAGTCCGCTAGAAACTCGCGAGAACAATGCTCCCAGGAGAATGGAATCTCCTCCACAGACGATATTTGTTGCTTTATCCGAGACGTAGAGATGTAAGGGCTGGGTACTACGCAGGGGTGGGGAGGCAAAGGACCAGGTGCGGGAGCAGATGCAGCAGTATTGAAATCGCTAGGCGAGGAACACGATAGATAAAAATTCAAAGTGCTTGCGGGCTTGTTTCGCTGAGCGACGAAGTATCGATGGGCGATTTGTGTTTGCATTATTTTGGTATGCATTCAGCGCCATTCATGGGAATCCCTGGCCGACCCGAGCTCTGACTGCCGGGATGTCGGACGGGGACCGGGTGTTGTGTGCTGACTGCCAGGGACGTTCAGGTCTTGCTCTTCAGATTTCCACTGCGGTTGGAGTGCTGTTATGCATTCCAAAAGTTCAAGAAAACCGCGTTTGCTATCACTGCAAGCAGCAGATCTCCCTGATTTTATCGCTGTTACAGCTCAATGCTCCTGTAATGTGTCTGCATTGTTGGGCTCATTGGTGACTCCGAAACACATCCCGCGAAGTAAATGGGGGTGCTGTTTTGCTGCAGCAGTGAGCTTCACTGCACACCACTTATATTTCGTGGGTCCTCCCGTCGTACCCGTTGCAAATTATTCATCTTCCGATGTGTGGGTTCTTTGACATTTCTTAATGCAAGGAGTGCAAGTGATGCATTTTATCGGCATTATGGCTTACTTTTCTCGCCACAACGAATGAATTAATGAATTCATTACGTAAGTTGTTAAGTGCATCTGTGATGAGCATTATGCATGCAGATAAGACAGTAGTAAAAGCTTTATTCCTTGTAGAAAAATCAGGATAATGGAGAGACAGATGTGCTGATATTTTTGCAGCATGCCTTTATAGAAATGAATATAGATGGTAAATTCAAAATTGCCTGCTGATTATATTCGATCTTTCATTTTTTTAAACAGCGACTCACAGTTTTTACAGGTTACC